AAAAACCCCCTCATTCATGGAAGACCTTCGTTTCCAATCGCACGGCACAAATTTTAGATCTCGTCGGAAACGCCACCTGGCGGCATGTGGGCAGCAGAGACAACCCCGCAGATCTGGGCACCAGAGGATGCAGACCCCTGGACTTAGCGGCCTCTTCGCTTTGGTGGCATGGACCGTAATGGCTATTAAGCCCACCCGAAGCCTGGCCAAACCGGCCACCCGAAATATCTCCCCTCCAGAATTGCGGCGAGTCGAGGCATTACATGCCACTGAGGAAGATCACGATATCCTTGATCGCTTCTCCTCGTTTCCCCGTGCACTTAGAGTTATGGCGTATGCTTTCAAATTTATACAGCGTCGTCGAGACCGAGTCAGACAGTCAAATAATTCCATCTCTCTCTCATGATGACCTCCGTAATAGCAAATACAGGCTCCTAGCTTTGACCCAATCTCGCTACTTTCCTCGGGAAAAGGCCTGTTTAGCAAAGTCCAAACCCATAGATAAACGGAGTCCTCTGCTTCCCCTCAACCCGTCCTTAGATAAAACCGAGTTGCTCCGCGTGAATGGTCGATTAGCTCACGCCACTTTGAGCTATAATGAAAGACATCCCATCATAATTCCCGAAAAATCCCGGTTCGCCATCCTATTCACACGCTTTCGGCACGAACTGCTCCTCCATGCAGAAACTCGTCTCATGCAGCAAGTCATAAGGCAAGAATTTTATATCCCTCGGCTTAAGCCCCTCATAAAAAAATGCCAATGTAAAAGTTGCACGGTCCACAAGCAGCAAACGCGATCGCAGATAATGGCGGCCCTCCCCTCGGAACGATGCACGTATGCTCCGCCCTTTACTATTACGGGCCCAGATTTTGCTGGACCTTTCCAGATAAAGGCCTCAATGCTAAGATCGCACACGTTGGTGAAGGGCTATGTGGCTGTTTTTGTATGCTTCACTACAAAAGCAGTCCACCTCGAGCTGTGTTCCGATCTGACCACTGCCGGATTTCTCGCTGCGTTTGCTCGCTTCGTCGGACGACGGGATTATCCTGCTAAGATGATGAGCGACAATGGCAAAACCTTTGTAGGGGCCAAACGAGCAACCGAAAAGGAGTTAATCGAATTTCTGAAGGAGGTATCTCAAGATGTCATCCAGAAATACTCACCTCAAGGCATCAACTGGGAATTTATTCCGCCAGGAGCCCCGCACATGGGCGGTTTGTGGGAGTCCGCAGTCAAAAGTTTCAAAATACATCTCAAAGGGACTGCTGGACCCAGCAAATTCACATTTGAAGAGTTCATCACCCTGTTAGTCAGAATAGAGGCCGTATTAAACTCCCGGCCAATCTCTGCTCTATCCCAAGACCCCACAGACCTCACAGCGCTTACGCCTGGCCACTTTTTACGAGGCGCCCCCCTCTTAGCACTCCCTGAAGTCGACCACAGCCATCTGTCCCTCTTTAATAGGTGAGAAAAAATGAAGGTGAAGGTCACGAGTTTAGTCGAAGGTGGAAAGAGGATTATATCAAGGATTTACAGAAGAGATATAGATGAAAAATACCCAGGCAGAGCCGAAAGTCGGCGACTGCGTTCTTATTGTTGACAATACTATACCTCCCATTGAATGGCGTTTAGGCCGTATCGAAAGGTCACACCCCGGTAGAGACGGACATATTCGAGTTGTCGATGTGCGCACAAAATCTGGCACCCTTACTCGCCCCATAGTTAAAATATGCCCGTTGCCAATGGGTGACGCCCCTCTGACTTCTCCAAATGCGCCATAATGAAAGCCTTTAAGCACTTTCATGACAACAGACTCTCTTAGCTCATATGTATTTAAAAACCTGTATATGAATGAAAAATTCTGATCCCACGTTTCTTCAAATGTCTGGTAGACTCCCCACTGATAGTCTAACTTCCACGGCTTACTTACAGATGGATACTTGCAGCAGCAGTGCCACTCCGAAGCCAACACCTCGAACATCGCTACCGCCTAAGCAACCGCAGCGGTCCGAAGTAGGCATTACGACTGACACAACTCCAGCGGAGCAGCCAGAAGAGGAAACCACCGATTTCAATCGATGCCGTCTGTGCGCACGACACCACGGGTTGCGGGTATGCCAAGTGTTTCGCGCAATGCAGCCGACCCAACGTTATCTGGTCGCACGTGCACACAAATTTTGCACCAACTGCCTCGCCTTATCGCATCACAGCAAGGACTGTCCCTCCGCTGGAATCTGCAGGCTATGTGGTCAGCGTCACCATACCCTACTTCACCGGAAGACGGCACTCATCAAAAACTCTCTACAACACCACGCTCCAGCATCGCGCAAAAGGCCTTCCGCACATCGTCCCCACCGTCTACGCCGTACTGAACTCAGCTCTAACAAGCACAAGCACCAGCATATGGCGCAAAGTGCGGAGAAAATCAATACCACCACCCAGGGAATCCGCATCACCAAGGCGAATGAAAAGCTGTCCAGGAAATTGCTGCGGGATGCAATACGTAAACTGCGGGAGCTAGAGAACAGCATAGTCGCTCAGCGCGCCTAGGTGCTGGAGAATAGTTAAACGAGAAACGTCTGTCGTTTAACACCTTGCAACGTATATGTTTATTACCTGAATTAATGCGAATTTTCTTCAACAATTTAATTACTCAAACTTTGTAAACATATTTTCCTTCATTGAATTGTTAATTCTAAAAGTTAAATCATTTCAAAATTGTTAAGGCTAAACTTGAGTTATTCAAAAATGTTAAACTTTTTATATTCTTATGCCTTGAATTGTTAAATTTGAATTTACATGTTTTGCGCTATTCAAATTAATACCCTCTATATTTTCTCATATTGAATTGATAAGAATTGTTAACCCTAAACCTAAAGAAATTTTCATATTGAAATGCATAGTTGGCAACGCCAAAGTCGTTAATACAGTGCAAGCAGCAAATGTCAAAAAGAGAAACAAAAAATTAGATACAGAATTTTCCAATCACTTTTACGTGCAGTCGCAAAAGCTTTCTAAAATTCGAATAACCTTTTATAGCTTGTTTTAATAAAGCAAAATTGTAAATTTAAAGCATAAACATTCGGTTTATAATTTCGAGTGGTCATATTAGTCTCTCGCCGAGTATCTACAGGCGCGCGGAGGAAACTCC